TATATATTTATTTATTTTATTTATTTATTTATATATTTACATACACACACACATACATATATCATATGTATCATAGATAGATAGATAGATAGATAGATAGATAGATAGATAGATAGATAGATAGATAGATACATAGATATAGATATATAGATATGTATATACATATCTCTACGTACGTATGTACGTACGTATATAGATAGAGAGATATAGATATATGAGAAACAGAAAGTTAATGGTTTTTAGACCATGATTCTCAACGATCAACAATTGTTTATTTTCAAGGGATTATGGAAATAATTTCTTAATTTGTAGGAAATTTGTTAATTTCTTAAGACACGGCTGTAGTTCTGAACTATCATGGCTATAACAGATACAGTAGTAACACTCATACTGGCATTGGACAATTAACTGTTTCATTCACTTTATGTTTGTTTGCAGTAAAGATTCTTACCTAATCAAAGTGTATCTGGGAAATGTCTGTGGAGGTCTGATCTAAGAACGATATTTGGCTGTGTAAATTCTGTCTGTGGTCTATGATTGAAAGCGTAGTTCTGATATGGGAAGCTTTGCAGATCATGTTAACCACTATAAGAGTTTTTAGGCTTTATGAAAATGCTTATTGTAAAATTTAAGTCAATAACTATACTGGTGATTTTACTTTAAGAGATGAAATAGAGCAACGAGGCTATCATGAATCACTGTATGATGCTCTACAATGTCTACGGGACAGAGATTTCTCTACCTTTTATGGAAGATTGAAGTGTGCCAGGTAAAAAGCCAGCTTTAAATCATGTTTATGTTGTTAAAGTATTTTGTGAATGTCACATTTGCTAATGTGTTGCAGTTTTAATTAGCGGATAGATGTGCATCATCATGTTCTTTTGGGAAGTTCTTTCAGAAAACTTCTGCAGCATTTTTTAAAAGTTAAACATTTTGCTTACAGATGAAATCATACAACAATGGAAATCTTGATATACAATACATTTGGAAAATCAGCAGTAAGACATAAATCCTTATGGAGATGTAATCTGTCACTTTAAAAGAAGGTTTTCCACTCTAGACAAAAGTATTAGTCATTTTTTTGTATGTAACATCAACATCAGCTTTGCATGTGTTTTATTGAATAAGATGCAGTTTGATATCTGTTATTTTTAAAGTTGTTTTACGGTTAAATGAAATAATTTCTGCTTAATGGCTTTTGAGTTGGTTTGCCTATAAACAGTGGATTATAATTATTTCTTTTATTTGTAGAATCAAAGAAGTAGAAGAACTACTGAAAGGCAGCCTTGAGTCTGTATATTCATTACTGCCTACACTCTGTAGGCTGCAGACAATTGGAGAGCTGGAATATGTAGGACAACTTTTCTCTGGGTATTTTACTATTTCTTTATACATTATATTAGTCCTGTGGATAGTTTTGATGCTTTTCCTGTGTAAAATCAAAAGCTCTTATATATCTGATGCTTGTAAGCTTAAGTAAAAATTTAAAAATATAAATGGCATATTATACTTTTTAAAAAGTAATTTAATGAGTTCATTAAGTAGCATTTTTTGGCCATTGGGCTGGTCTCAAAGACAGTCATGCTTAACGTGAAATATTTAGCACAATAATATAACTAGATGTCTATTGATTTCAGAGAGTGCTATAAGCATAATTAAACCTGGATCCAGCCAATAAGGATAAATACAGTCTTTCTAACTTTTTCTAAACCTGACACTTTATTAGAGTAACTTAGATGAGATAGGCGGTGTAAAAATGAGATAAACAAAAACTACTTTTTAAAAAATGTGTACTATCTGTTGCAAATTAGTAAAGCCTTGGAGGCTAATTCTTCATTGATTTACCTTCAAATGCCTAAGTGATTTTGCTCAAATCTTAAGACATTAAGAACTAAAACACTTACTTCTTTATTCCAGCTTTGATTTGGTACTTATATATACTTCAAAACAAAAGTGTGCCTAAATCAGATTTCTGAGCAAAACATGAATTTGAATGTGAAAGGTATAATTAGTTTCCTGCATTTTACTTATATATTAGATCTATAAATAAATAAAGTCCCCACATGTAAACATATGGAGGGTCTTATATACAGTATTATTGTTAGGTATGACTGGCTAAATGTAAACATTACAATTTAAAAATGCTATATTTTATTTGGAATATTGTTATTGCAATATAGCAACACTTTCCAAGCATCCCCAGGCTATCATTTCTTTCATTGGAATAAAAGCAGCACTGCAAGCACCAATCCTTTTAGGAATATGTGCAATATTATGATATGTGTAGGAAAGGAGTGGTGTTTGCACCCTCTCTCACTGACACTGCATTCTTCAAACAAACTCCTGTAAAAGAATAATTCTCTCAGTCCAGGTAGTTTTTCATCTGCTTACTAAAAATTTAATATAGAGCAGAAGTGTCAAACGTGCGTTGTCAAGTTTTCATCACATGACATATCGTGACTTTCCCCCCTTCGCTAAAATGGGTGGGCGTGGCCAGCACAGGAGGCATCCAGCCTACAGGCTGCGAGTTTGACATCCCTGATATAGAGATTTTAATTTCTCACTTGCCATTTACAGCTTGCTCCTAGGTTTCAGACTAAGGACTAATTATAACTAACACTTTATTAATGTTTAGTCAAAGTTTTTTAGCTTTATTCTTTGCTTTCAGGTCGGAAACTAATAACCAATTGCATAATTTGCATCTGAAGTGGCAGAAGCAGTCCCAACTTCTTCAGGATAGTGACTTTGCTTTCCAAGAGCCTATTATGGCTTTGCGTACAGTAATTTTCAAGCTTCTTCTGGAGAAAGAAAATGAGAATGACCAAAGGGATTGCATTAAAAACATTCTCACTGAACATCTTGTGGAACTATCCAAATTGGCTCGAATGGCAAATAATTCACAGGTAAGAATCAACTGAAAATCTGCCTTAACTATTCCCTAAAATATAGGCCTATGCTTTTATTAACATGCAAATATTGAGTGGATAAAGGATTTTATATTTAGTCAAGGATTCTTCATAGAAACTTAGCTTGTCATCTGGAAAGTTAATAGCCCGGGTTCAAGATCTGAGTGCTGTGTGACAGGGTGAGCTCCTATTACTTGCCACAGCTTCTGCCTACCTAGCAGTTTGAAAGCATGCAAATGCAAATAGATAAATAGGTACCACTTCGATGCTGACCACATGACCATGGAAATGTCTTTGGGCAACTCTGGCTCCCTCAGCTAAGAAATGTAGATGAGCAGCATCCCCTAGAGTCAGAACAACTGTACAGGGGAAACCTTTACTCTTACAGTCACTAGCACACTTTCAGGATTTTTCATTCCACAAAACTTAATCATGAATGTATCTTTATGCTAAAAAAGAAGCATTGTATTAGAAATACATTGTGAAGTAACCATACGATTCTATTTTGATGTTTGTTCATTAGTAATACCCATGAATATCCTTTCATCACGAAGTAGACAGTTGCAATGTCCCAGGATCATGAATTCCATCTTCTGTAACCTCCTGTTAAACAAAAACCAAATTCACTTAACAACCATATTAGTACCTTAACAACTGTAGTGATTCACTTAACAACCGTGACAAGAAAGGTCATATAATGGGACAAAATTTACTTAACCATTGCCTAGCTTACAATTTTGGGATTAAATGTTGTTATAAATCGAGGACTACCTATAATTTAAAGAGTGGTAGTAAATCGTGCATGGTGTATTGTGAGCTATGTTTCTGAAATAGAATATTATAACTGGCTTTGTCTATCTCGATTCCAGAAGAATTAAGGAAAGTATTACACCACCCAAATGAAAGTAAAGTAAAGAGTTTTTTGTGTTCGTTTTCAGCTTCCAGAAAGAGCAATATATGAAGTTAAACAGTACAGTCTAACCAGACATGGAGTATCAGAATGGAAATTGGAAGAAGCTCAGGTGTTCTGGGCTAAAAAGGAAGAAAGCTTAGCACTGAGTATTCTAAAAGACATGATCAAGAAATTGGATGAAAATTGGATTGAGGTAGTATCATTTATTTCACTGGTGGGTTTGGTAGTAATAACATTTTTTAAATGCATGCCTTGTTTTGTTTTGAGAACTATGTGGTTCAGAGGTGGTGTTCAGCAGATTCTGACCAGTTCTGGAGAACCAGTAGTGGAAATTTTGAATAGTTCGGAGAACTGTTAAATACCACCTCTGACTGGCCCCGCCCCCATCTAGTCTGATCAAGAAAGAATGGGGATTTTGCAGTAACCTTCCCCTGCCATGCCCCCCAAGCCACACCCATAGAACCGGTAGTAAAAAAATTTCAATCCCATCACTGATGTGGTTCTATTAAATAAGAAGAGCAAAGTATATGAAGAAACAATATCAAAGTAAAAAATATCATAGTAAAATACCTGATCTGCATTATTCTTATTCTAAGGTTGAGAAAGACCCACATCTGAAATTAATTTACACAGAATGCTTGAGGTTATGTGGAAGTTGGTTAGCAGAGACCTTTTTAGAAAATCCTACCATCATTATGCAGAACTACTTGGAAAAGGTAATGTATTTGCAGTGAATCCTATAACCTGTACAAAGCATTTGAAAATTAAATTTGGTTTACATTGTTCTATTATTTGTTCCTCACATTGCTCCAGGCAGTTAAAATTGCTGGGAATCACAACGATGACAGCAGCGATGAGCTGAAGAGAGGAAAGATGAAGGCTTTTCTCTCTTTGGCTCGCTTTTCGGATACTGAGTATCAAAGAATTGAGGATCGTATGAAATCATCAGAGTTTGAAAATAAGCAAGCTTTGTTGAAGAAAGCCAAGAATGAAGTTGTCCTTTTAAGGGAGCATAAAGTTCAGACTAATCGGTAAGGCTCTTAGCTGAAGCTGGCCATGTTAGTAAATTGATTGAAGTTTTTAATAAATGATCATGGACACCATCGTATTTTTCAAACATTAAGATGGCATCCCTGTCCAACTTTTAAATAATATGTAATAAAATTGCCACCTGGTATGATAACTAAATCTATTTTCTCAAGGTATCTTGAGATTTTAGCCATTTAAAATTTTTAAGCACAACTTATTTGTTCCTTTTTTTAGGATGTTTTTACATGATATTGTTCGTTCCTTTAAATAGCTGCAGGTATGCAAACCAACGCTATTGTAATAAAAAGAAAATTAAGATGGCCCTGGTCTTTTTAACTTGGAACTCTTTAATTTCATTGTATTATCCTGATATTCTTGGAACAAGTGGTTTAAGAATGAGCTTCTTGCAGGAAAATTGTATAATTATCTTTTGCATAATCATTAATATTTAATCAGAGGAGTTTTTGGATGGAGCTTTTATTTCTCATTTTGTACCACTTAGATATACTGTGAAAGTTCAGAGGGAGCTGGAACTAGATGAATGTGCAATTCGCGCGCTGGAAGAAGATCGCAAGCGTTTCTTACGCAAAGCAGTTGAGAACTACATTATGTGTTTATTGAGTGGAGAAGAGCATGACATGTGGATCTTCCGTCTCTGTTCTCTCTGGCTTGAGAATGCTGGACTTTCTGAAGTCAATGCAATGATTCAGGTTGGTCTTGCTGAAGTCTGCTTCATGTTAGGGTTGCTTCAGATTAAGAGCCAGTTTGGTACAGTGACTAGGAAGCAGGAGACTGAGTGCTTGGCCTGCCTTAAGCGCAAAGCCAGTTGATTGACCTTGGGCCAGACCCTCACTCTCAATCCTAGGAAGAAAGCAATGGCAAACTACTTCCAAAAAGAATTATTTTTCGGAGTATAAGACACACCTTTTTCCCTCAGAAAAGGGGGTGTAAATCTGGATGCATCTTATACACTGAATAAAACAGTTTTGGCCTACTGAAACTCCACCCCCTTTGCAAAATTGGATGTGTAGAGGGTTTGGGAGGCCTGCAAAGTGCTCCTGAGGGCTGGGGAGGGCAAAAAAGAGCACAAAATGGGCTGTTTTTGCCCTCCCGCCAGCCTCCAGGAGCACTCTACAAGCCTTTCAACCCTTTTGCATGCCGTTCCCCCACCCTGAAAAATGGCCTGTTTTTTGCTCATTTTTAGCGCCTCCAGGCCCCAGGAGCCTCCCAAAGCTCTGTATGTCCCCCCCTATGCAATTTTTTTTAAATTTACCTCTTCAAAATCATGGTGCGTCTTATACTCCGGTGCGTCTTATAATCTGAAAAATATGGTGCTTAAGTGAGATGGATGGTGCAGAATAAGATAGATGATAGACAGACAGAGAGACACATTGCTCAAAAACCTGTTAAGACTTATCCAGGCAGTTAGCAGGAATCAGTGTTGACTCAAAGGTGTACACACACACAAACACACATTTGAGGATGCTGCCTTTATATTGTGAATCTTTAATTTGGATGCTAAACCTTTATCATGTAAATCCAGTTTTCGTAAAAAATAAAACAAAACAACAAAAAACCTGGGCATGTTGTCAGCTTTATTTGGATTTTACATGTTTTGTGCATCTTTATGCTACATCTACAGTTTATCAAAAATCAGAACAAGATTTTCATTGTATTATTTCATTATTGTTGTCGGTGTTTACTAGATTAATATAGTTGATTAGTTTGAAAGATACTATCTTGTTTTTCTCCCACATAGAGAAATGATTAGAACTAAAGCATTGCATTTGGCACACTCCTCGTTTCTTCTCTCTCACTCTCATTATGCCTGCTTCACTTCATTAGCCTTTGTTCTTGGGATATGTGATATGGTTATCTGAATTAATTAGCATCAGCTTGCCATCTTAATAGCATTTTCAATTGTTACTTTTTCAGGCTAGTATAAGAAAGTATCCACCTTGCATAAACACCTAATTGTGTTCCACATTGATTCATATATACGAAGCATACCTTAATCTTTTGAAGCTTTATTTGGTGCGTCTTTGTTTTATTTTTCACTCTGGTCTATAAATCTGGTAATCTATGGTTGCCTCTGTAGCAAAGGGGAAGAAAACATCCAAAGGGGTTTAGATATAAAAGAGATCTGCTAGTCTAGTTAGCAACCAGTATTATGTTTGCATGGCTTTCTTGGGAAGACAAGTAGTCCTTGCTTAATGACCTTAATTACCAATTCCATTGCTCAATGAAGCAGTTGTTAAGCAATACAGTTCATGACTGCACCAACTTATGACAGCAGTTCCAGCAGTCCTGGTTGTGATTGTTAAGTGAGTCATCAAAGGAGTATTGACTTTGTGTCTCAAAAGAAAAGGTTGAAAGTAGTGATCACAGGACCACAGGATGCTGCAACCATCTTAAATGCATGAGGATTGCCATGCACCTGAATTGCAGTCATATGAGCACAGGACACTGCAATAGTTATAATGTGAAGACAAGTCACAAATAATTGTTTTCAGTGCTGTCGTAACTTTGAACAGTCACTAAAGGAATGGTTGTTAAGGGTTATTAGATCCCAAGATCAGATTAGTATAATCATTTTCTTTTACTGAAAAGATAATGATATTTCCACATTTAATTGATGAGACATATTAATAGTAATGGATTATAACCATTCGGTCTGGCATTCATAAAACTTATATAAGCAGAGCATCTTACTCTGTAAAGAAGTCTGTCAGTGTTTAAATATTAAATGCACTTTCCTATTTTGTCTCTATTTTACATGCTCTTCTGCTGCACAACAGAAGGAGGCCCAGAAAATCCCATCCTACAAATTCTTGCCACTGATGTACCAGCTGGCTGCTCGAATGGGAACCAGGATGAATAAATTTCATGAGATTTTGAATAATGTAATTGATCTTCAATTGTCATGTATCTTCCTCATATTATAGAGTTTTTGTTTGAATTTTAAATAGGTACTGTAGGAGAGCGGCACAATTTTTTTTTCTTAGAAAGTATGTGGACAGTTGAGCTAGTAGAATCCTTTCTAGCTTGCTTTAGATATTTTGAAAATGCTAAAGGATTTAGCATGGCCTGCCTTAAGGGTCAAACAACTTGTCCATAAATACTCACTGTGACATGTTATATTAGTTAAATGTTTTTGATGGGGTGTTCCCCAAAAAATAAGTAGTCCACAGTTCAAAGTTACAGTGGCACTAGCGAAATGGACTGTCCTTGAGATAGTAGGTCCTTGAAGTTCTGTCTCTGTCATTGTGTCCATGTGATGATGTATCCCAAAGATCTTGTACTGCCAATCATCCCTCCTGCTCTCTGTAGTACACACTTGTTTGGAGCACTCCCCTTCCCTTGTGGCCTCTGCTGGCTCATTTGCAGCCTCCAGTGCTGCCTTGCGCCCCCACTCCGATACTTCCTTGACCCCACACCCACTGTGGCAACTGTATTTCTTGCATTCTTTGCCTAGGATTCCCAGCTCTTCCTGCTTAATGACCATGCATCCTGCATTTACGACAGCACCTGGGACTCCTGACTTTGCTAAGACATGTAGTCATGTCATGTCATAATTTATGACTGCATCACTTGGCAATGGCAATCCCGATCCCCATTGTTGTTGTCTCCTGCAGACCACTTGTAAGTGGGATAAAAACTAACTTTCATTTAATGTAAATATAGTGAAACTGAAAATAAATAAATTAACTACACCTAATATAAATCTTTAGGGAAGAGCCATACGTAAGACTTTCCGGGTCCATGTGTACTTCTGAGTTAAAGCATATTGAACATTATTGTTAAAGCTTTGGTACTTGTTTAATGTTCAGTTCATATTTTATTTTAAATAATCAACTTTTTAAATATTTTACTTGAATAGCTTATAGCAAGAATTTCTCTTGACCATCCACATCACACTTTGTTTATAATTTTGGCATTGGCTAATGCCAACAAAGATGAACTCCTGACCAAGCCAGAAGTGACTAGAAGTGGTGGACTAATAAAAAATGTGCCAAAAGAAACATCTCCTCTTGACATGGTACTTAAATTTAACTGACTTTGCATTATTTCGGGTTGTAAAAAATAGTAAGCTTTGTTAAAGGAATCATAGAGCATGTTATCAGCTTTGAAGATAAGGATACAATATTTTTTCTTCTACAATGTTTTCTATTTCCTCATATCAGATTTATTTTATGTCTTTGATTAATTTAAACTTCACATTTGAATTTTATTTTTGACTTCCTTTTTTTTTTATAAAAAAAACACCTTATCCTGCAGGATCGAATGAAGGCTGCTAGCAGTATAATTAACATTGTAAAACGGAAAAGACCTGATATGGTGTTAAAGGTTGAAGCCCTTTGTGATGCTTATATTACTTTGGCAAACATGGATGCAACTCCCTGGAAAACCCACAGAAGTATGTATTGGGGGAATTGGGTGCTTTGAATTAATTCATTCTTAGTTCGAACCCCATAGTAAAGGGGACTGTATTCTGCCAATAATGTATTTTACTTGGAGTATATTGTATATGAATGCTGTATGTTGTAAATATTTTTTTCCAATCTGCTATGTCTAGCAGATGAGAGTTGATTTATTTAGCAGGGTATAAATCCCAAAAATAATTGTTAATTAAAATAAATTGATTGATAGTGGCTAAGTAGAACCTCTGAAATAACTTTCGATAATATCAGAAATGTATTCTGAACTTCTTCAGTGACTATTCCCAAAACATTGACTATACTATGACAAAGGGTGCTTGCCTTAAAAGTTATATAACTCAATGAACAGCAAATATTTATTAATATGAGGTTTGTATTGTTTATCCAGGAGCCATAAATATTCCTTCCGATCAACCTCTAATTAAGTTAAAAAATCTAGAGGATGTTGCTGTACCTACCATGGAAATAAAGGTAAATCAATTTAAGTTACATTTAAGTCTCAGTAAACATTTTTGTCCTGTTGTGTTGTGAGCAGCAGAGAAATGAAACATTCTTTATTGTTCAGTTGAAAATTTCAATTAGGGGAGAGACAAAATTCAAGAAATATCTACATTTCATCTAAATTTCTATGTGGTTTTAGGTGGATCCTAGTGGCAAATATGAAAATTTGATTACAATAAGATCATTCAAAGCAGAATTTCGCCTAGCAGGCGGGGTCAATCTACCCAAAATAATAGATTGTGTTGGATCAGATGGACAACAGAGAAGGCAGCTTGTGAAGGTGAGTTCTCTGTTTCATTATGAAATATGAACAGGATTATAGATGTGGCACTTTTGTATACTGCCAAGTTCTTCACATCAGAATAGGTATAAAATATTCAGTCACAAATATACATACTATTAAGTTTATTTCTCAGGAACATTTTGGTATGGGAGTGCATACATAGAAACGTCTGTTTCTTCCTCCGGTACCATTCTGAATTTGCACTGTTGGGTCAGGACTCTACCAAGGGGGTCTCTTTATATTTTTATTTTACTGTATGAAAATTTGGATAGTAACAATTTGAATATGATATTGGTAATGAGTTGTGTTTTTTTCGCAAGGCTAACCAAAGTTTTTCCACACTTTTGAGCAATTCCAAAGAAAAAGAGGGTTCATCTGAAATTGCAGTTTCAGTCTCACTCTCATTTAGAATGAAAAGTTGTGTGGAGACCTTTTGTTGTGATCATTGCTGTCCCTAACACATTTATATGGATGTAATTTCTATTTGCTTCTCTGAATGTACATAGGATCAGGTTATAGAATTCTGCATTTACATTTATTCTGGGGACAATGCTATTCCTATTGTCTTTTTTTAAAATCTCTTAAAGGGACGTGACGATCTGAGACAGGATGCTGTTATGCAACAGGTTTTCCAGATGTGCAATACTCTGCTACAGCAAGATGCTGACACCAGAAAAAGAAAACTGACCATCCGCAGATACAAGGCAAGTTTTGCATAAAAATGGCCTGCTGCGGATATAATGTTGGTGCCCTGAATGCAGGAGGAACTGCCTGGTACAAGACCATTAGTTCATCTGCTGTTTCTCATTAATAACATCTAGAATAACTGATGATTGCAGAATCTGACCCCCAGTCAAATAGGTTGCCAACCTTTTTCCTCCAACAGAGTAAGTGTTTGCCTAGTTTGGAATGATTTCCGCAGGATAATAGCAACTTTCCAGAGCCTGACACAGACCTTGCCCAGCACTTGATGCTTGGGAGTCTGCTGAGGATATAGCCTGGGGCCCTTCTTTATTTATTCTATTTCTTTTTGGAGCAACAACCAAAACACTCTAGACAGATTATAATATGTTTTAAGTGATTTTAAATCATATTCATGCAATTTAAATTGATATAGTGCTTGACTGATATCCATTTTGTCCAGTGACTGTTCAGAGTTACAATGACGCTGAACAAATAGTGGTTACAAAGTTCATCCCTGAACAAGGTTGGAATCTTGAGTGCTTGGCAATCCATTCCCACTTAACTGGTTGCCAAGCGCCCCGTGGTGGTTGATTGCCATTTCTAGCCTTCCCTACTGGCTTCCTCTGAAAATCTTTGGGGAAGCCATCAGGAAAGATCACAAGATGCTGGGGAAGTCTTCTCCCTTGTGAACCCCCATCCACCTCCTGGACTCATGCCATGCTTCTCACACAACCCCACCCACACATGTGGTGCTTCTTGCACACACTACCTGACCTACACAGCACCTTTCACACACACCCTTGTGCACATTCCGTGGTGTGCATGTTGAACATCCTTTCCCGCCCTTGTGTACCTTCATCAATCTCTCTCACACCCAGGCCGTACCTTGCATACCGCATTGCTCTTTGCTTATCTGCCCATGGACTGGGACTTGCAACTTTCTTCCTGTTTCCCCACTGGCTTAGGCTATGGGAAGCCAGCAGGAGATTCACCTCACTTAACAACGACAGGATTCAGTTAACAACATCACTAAGTAATGGGGCAATGCTTTATGACTGCATTTCTTAGTGATCAAAATTCCAGTCCCAATTGCCCTTGTAAGACAAGGACTACCTGGATGAGCCCAGAAAATATAAATAACATATAGCAATATATTTCTTCTATCTAAAATAGCAAATCCACTACTGAAATGTATTGCAGTTTGTTCACAACTGCTGAATCTTTCCTCTCGTTGCAGACTAGCTTTAAAACAATCAACTTGTACATGTCCCCTTTCTTTCCTTTTTATCTTGAGCGTTTTCTTCTATCTTTCCAATGGTAATGCGTTTTCTAGCACTTTCTTGATTAACCAGAGATCATATAATTCAGAATGGATCTGCTTTGACTACCTCTTTAGGTTGTTCCCCTTTCTCAGAGAAGTGGCGTCTTAGAGTGGTGCACTGGCACAATTCCTTTGGGTGAATTCCTCATCAATACTGACAGCAGTGCTCACAAACGCTATAGACCACAAGACTACAGTAGCTTAGAGTGCCAAAAGAAAATGTTGGTAAGTCTGCTACATTAAATCAAGTCAATTAATGCTTCTTCATTTGTAGAAACTGGACGTAAGAAAATAGATGGAGTAACAGAAATACAGTTGTCCACATGAGAGACAATCGTGTTGTCAAACAGTGGTCCAGGATTCACTAAGAAAAGTAATATGACCTCAGAGACTTTTATCATGTAATAGGAATTTGGTCTTCAAATCAAATTTAGTTAAGCAATGGTACAGATGGGTCAAACTGTCAAGTATATTGACATAATGACACATTGGCACAGTGAAACCAATATGAAATCAAGAAGAAGAAGGACATAGCATATTTGAAACCCTAATTGCGAGGAGAATGTCTTCAGATGCGATACCACCCCTGGAAAAAAATATTTCCTTTTGTAGCTGTCTGCCTTCCCTCACTTTGTGATATGATGCTCCGATGAATTTGGAAGCCATTTTTGGCAGATGATAATTTCCTTTGGTATCTCATCCCAAGGTGTTTGCCAATTAAAGCTAATTAAATTAAAGCATTTTGCGTTGACCCAGAAATGGCTCCCTGGCAGTGCCGATAGGATCCTACTAATTAGTTCCAGTTGCTGTGAAATTTCTGTACAGTTTTCAAAGTTAGCACTACATGTAGTCTCTGCAATAATCCAGACAGCATTACCAGATTCTATGGCTATTCTATTTTAATTGCAGAACTCTAGAAGATCAATCAATGGCAGAAAAAAGAAAATCTCTCTTTAAATCCATCTGGGTATTTTTTTATTTGTTTGTTTGTTTATTTATCTATTTTAAAGGTTCTCTTGCTGTCCAGATGAGGGAGCCCTACCAAATTCAGTACTTTATTCACCACATTATGGTGTTTCTTTACAATGTTATCAGACTATCTTGTGCTCATTTTCATATGCATTCATACTTTGTAGGAAAGAGATTTATTTTCTTGTGTAATTGCAAGGATAGTTGTATTTGAAAGCATTTTTCATACCATCTCTATTCATATACAAAAGAAACTACACTCAGAATAAACAGGAGAAAAGAAAGAAATATCTCTAAACTATTTGTGGTTTCCTTCAAAGGATGCACAAAAGAAAGATTTTGAAGAAAAATATACTCTTTTCATGGATATATGCCAGCATTTTCAACCTGTGTTTCGCTATTTCTGTATGGAAAGATTTTTGGATCCAGCGGTATGGTTTGAGAAAAGGTTGGCATACACTCGAAGTGTTGCCACTTCATCTATAGGTATTATAAAATATAATAAACTGTTTTATGAAGCTTCTTATCATATTTACTATTAAATGAAGGAATTTTATTAATTTTCTATGAAGAGTTCTTTGCCAGCGGAGTTGCTGCAGAGAAAGAGTGGGCAATCTGGAGGCAACAGTAGCTATAAATGGAGACAAACTTTTGATGATTTAACTTTTGGGAATGGGCAAAATCTAACAGTAAGCTGGTTCTTTGGAGATCTGGGTAAAGGCAAATTGTTTCTTTTTGTCCTTTGGAATGGAAGGGGAGGGTTAGTATTATTTTAAACTAGCAGGTGGCATCTTTTAGATGGTCAGAAGTGCTCCAATATTTATCAGGAGGACAAGAGCCACAATTGTAGGATGGATAATGTAAAGGGCACAGGGAAGCATCACACAGATGTTGTCAACCACGTTCCACCCCACCCCCCACCCCCCGGTAGTTGTTTGCATCTGGGCTGGCTGGCTTGCTTATATATTTGATTAGTGGATTGATGCCTATAGCCACCCATCTCAACAGAAAACTCTTTTAACATATATAAAGTGTACTTTGGAAATACACTGTCATTTTTATATCTCAAAATCATGGATATCATTCCACTAATAATTGACAGTTGTGATTGGAAAAGTTTCTGGCTGCCAGACTAAGAAAGGCACAACACTCCACGTAGCTCCATCCTTCTTTTATTGAGGTACTATTTGTGTCTTTCCCTTTGAAAAGGCAGGAAACTACACTGCTGATTTTTCAGATAAGATTCCAGAAACTCCAAAATGGGTTTGCAGAGTCTTAACTTTTAACCACTTTGTGTTTTTTAAAATGATGAACTCATTTTTGGTAACTTAAATTTTAATAGATTGTGTAAATAGTTACTTTTATTATCTTTCTATTTTTATTGAGGTGTTTTATTTGGATAGCTAATGAAAAATAAACTATGTTGTACTTTGTTAATTAGAGTTTAAAATATATATGTTGTGTGTATTATCAATACAAAAATATAATTATATGAAACTATTAGCTCTGTACCAGAGCTCCATACAGTATATTAGCTATTGGCTGTCTGCAGCTTTTTATTCCCCTTGAAAGGATGTTTCTGAAATCAGGGCATTATTGGTGCATTGGATTGTCTTGCTAGATTATGGTGGGGAAATGGAAGAAATCCACTCTTCATATTTGCAGTAGGCTTTAAAAAAAATAAAGACTGGATACAAGTACTTCTGGATTAATTTTGGATCTTTCCATTTCAGTTGGCTACATACTTGGTCTCGGAGACAGGCATGTACAGAATATTCTGTTAGATGAAGAAAGTGCAGAACTTGTACATATTGATCTAGGTATGTACCAAGTAAAGAATCAAGTGTTTAAATTTTGATGCGAATCCCATTCAAGCATTATAAAAATAAGCAGGTTCACCATTCTAATTAACTCTGCTCTTTCTCCTGCGTATTGCATGGTTGTCTGACGAAGAAAAGCCTCACAGGTATGAAATGGTGCATCATTGCTTGCGCTAAGGCTTTTTGCCTGAAGGATAAAGCTATCCCATGAACAATATTGATGTAAGAGGGGACGTCTCAAGTTTCTAAACATCAGCATAGGGATTTACCATTTATTGAGTCATAAAGGAAGGAACAGTGTAACATGAAAAAAGAATGAAGTAAAAAAAATGCAAAAGTTATACCATGAACTCCAAAAACATTGACAAGATTGATTATATTTCTTCTTGCCCCTGTTTTTGAAAAGACACAACAAGTAGACCTCAATTTACAATGCCAATTGGGGCCAGAATTTCCATCCCTAAGCAGCGTAGTTATAAAGCACAATTGCTTGGTGACAGCAATCCTTGCCCTCCTGGTTGCTGTTGTCCGTTGAATCTCGTAGTCATTAGGTGAGGCAACTTCCTACCAGCTTCTCACAACCAAATCAGTGGGGAAGCTGACAGAAAGTTGCAAGACCCAGGTGCTCACAAGCAGGATGGCAGGGGAGGTAAGTGGCTGCCCAGGTGCAAAATGACCCAAAGATGCCAGGCAGTTGCCGTGAGGGTAGGGGAAGGTGCACAGGTAACAGGGAGGTGCAGCAAGGATCTGGGAGTGTGAATCCAGAGTGGCTAGGAGATGGTGCTTGAATATGGGAGCTTTATTCCTATGACTTGACCTTCCTTGCCAGCCTCCCCATTGGCTTTCTGGAGAAGCTAGTGGGAAAGGTCGCCAATAGAGATTACATGATCATGGGGCAATGCAGTCAGTTGTAATTGCAAGCCTTTTGCCAAGCACCCATATTTCAATCACACGTTCACAGAAAAGCTGGGACACTGGAACGCAAAGCCCAGTTATAACCAGCGACGTCATTACTTTGAATGTTTGCTAAATGAATGGTCGTAAATGGAGGACCACCTGTGATTTAATAATCATTAAAATATGTACTGTTACCTCATTGCTGCAATTACCAATTGCATTTTCTGACATTTAAAATATATATTTTAATGCTGTATTGGTACATGAAGGCTGGGGAAAGTGCTTTTAAAAAAGCCTTCGACTTCTGCTTTCTTTTCTCCATTAGGTGTTGCCTTCGAGCAGGGCAAAATCCTTCCTACTCCAGAGACTGTACCTTTTAGGCTAACAAGAGACATAGTTGATGGCATGGGCATTGCTGGTGTTGAGGGGGTCTTCAGGAGGTATGTTACTCCTTTCAAAGCATTTTAGCATTATGTATGCCAGGATTTCAGTTTTTACAGTTTGGGAAATTGAGTTGGTAAGAACTGTTTCCAGTTATAAAAATGTGGCCCATGTGAGCTGATTGTAAATTTTTATTTACCTAGAAAAAATACATTGTAAGATTTTCTATAAAAGTTAAAATAGAAACTGGTTTTGACATTAAAAATCTGTTTGGAAATCATTTAGATGCTGTGAAAAAACTATGAATGTTATGAGAAATTCTCAAGAAGCCCTGCTAACTATTGTAGAAGTAAGTGTTTTTTGGCTTAAATATAACATTGAAAGTAATACTTATATTAAATATACTTTGGTGTGTTGGACTACTATACTCCATATTTAATATTTTGCATCTCAAAAGACAATTTAGTTGGTATCTAGCTTAAAAATTCTGATTCCTCTCCTATCTCAGTGAATATTGGAATGGAGGTAATATAATACAAATAGTGCATCCTAATTGAAACTTGTTAATGTCATTCTGAATTCATGTTCCAATAAAGCAGACTTATAGTACAAGAAATATTAGACTGACATTCAATCATTTTAACACCAAGTAAAAAAATAAAGCAGTAGGCCAACCTGGGAAGGCATTCAGAAAGATTTTCGTGTTGTATTGCTTTGGACCTGATGATACAAAGATATGGCAAACAGCAGGCACAGATTCCAGAAAACGGACAATAGTTTACCATGAATCATGTTGGAACTTTGAATTAAGTGCTAAGAGAATCTTTCCATCTAAATTGCTATTTGAAGGCTCTAGAAAGGATATAAGAACCTAAATAATGGCCTGCTAGATCGGACCTCTGCCCATCTAGTCCAACAGCTTTTTCTCAACTGTAGCCATCCAAATGCACAACAAAGTCACCCAGGAAATGGTCTTCAGAGGCAGTCACACTGCCATCAAAGCTGACAGCCCTCAATCACCATGACTTTCATAAATTGGTCCAACCCTTTTTTGAAGCCAGCTATGCTGGTAGCCAGTACCACATTTCATGGTAGCAACTTCTCAAATTGAATTACATATTGTGTAGTAACATTTATCAAGTGTTGGTTTGGGAAGGAACTGCAATCTCCTTTCCAGTTGCTATACTCCCCAAATAAATAAAAAATCCATATACTTTACAGCAGTAGAATCCTTGAATGAGCATTCTTTCTCTCAGTCAACAGAGAATAAGAGCCAGTAACAAAATATAACACTTGGGATTGCAAATTGAGGAAACCTTACCTCTATTTACTTATTTGATTTCGTTATTTGATGGAACCAGAGTTCAATAGCTGAATTTATGGGTTGAACAATTCGGAATTTCCCCCTAAAATGTTAATTTAAAAATTATGCTACGCAGATAAAACTAATACTTTGCTATGAGAGATGGGCAGTGGAATGCTCTGTTTAGAAACATAATTGTGTCTCCTTTGATATTTTAGGTGCTTCTATATGACCCTCTTTTTGACTGGACCATGAATCCTCTGAAAGCTCTATCTCTGCAGCAAAGGTCAGAAGATGAAGCTGATGTCAGCTCCAACTTCAGTAGTGCTAATCAAGGATGTAGCAAAAAAGCAAAGTAAGGAGAAATTTTATTATTACTTTGTATTTTTTGTATTTATGAATTAGTATCCATATGCCTCCTAAAACCCTTGTTCTCTTCTCAGTAATGAAAACCAGTTATTTAATAAAGTGGCAGAGCGTGTTTTGATCCGACTTCAGGAGAAACTTAAAGGAATGGAAGAAGGTACAGTGCTCAGCGTGGCCGGCCAGGTGAACTTCCTCATACAGCAAGCCATGGACCCCAAAAATCTTAGCCGCCTCTTCCCGGGATGGAAATCATGGGTATAAATATATACTATAAGTAAATAAGACATGACCTCCAGAAGTGGTTACAAACATTTTAATGGCTCCTGAGGAAGGTAGAATTAATATTATATTAAAAATATTACATGGAAAACGTTGAATCGAAAAGCGTTACTCCATTGCAATTATTCCAATGTGATGAAAGCAATATTAGTGTTACACTCTAAGTCCTGTCCCTGTTATAGATAGGTAGGTAGGTAGGTAGATAGGTAGGTAGGTAGGTAGGTAGGTAGGTAGGTAGGTAG